ACGATTGTATATTATTTCACTTGCCTTCTTGACAAGTCGTTAAGCAAGCGTCGCCTTAATTGTCGTGCCCTGCTTATTTATATATTTTCCTATTTATAGCTACCTGTTCCACCCTCTCAACGCGACAATTTGGAGGCATCCTTCGCCATTGTTTCAACTGAGGAATGTGATCCAAACGATGACATATGCGAGATTGGTGTGCGCATCGAGGAGCAGCTGGCCAAGCAGTTGATGATGTGCAAGAATACACGGGATCATCACAAAGCCATGGGCGATATAGCCGGCATGAATCGTTTTGAGAATCTCGCATTGACTGTTCAAAAGGATTTGGATCTGGTGCGCTATTCGAAGCGCAAGAATCTAACACTGCCGAAATTCCATTATGAGAAGCGTTCCTTTAACATTGTCCATTGCAACACGGATCTGACGGACAACGAACTCGAAATTGTTGTTGTAAGAGGCATCAATTACAATGTGGCCAATCCCAAGGATGTGGACACCTATGTTCGCGTAGAATTTCCGCTATTGAATGTAAATTTTAAACTATTAATGTCCACATGCTCACATTTCTTAATAATATTATTTGCTACTACAGGATGAAGCCTTCAGAGCGAAAACGAATGTGATCAAGGACACAGACAGTCCGGACTACGATGAACGCTTTAAGGTGGAAATTCAGCGCGGAAATCGTCAATTTCAACGTATATTTAGAAGACATGGCGTTAAGTTCGAGATCTATTCAAGGGGGTGAGTTTAAAAGCTTTCAGTTATTTATATCAAACATAATATTGAGCACTTTATAATAACTATTAATTCATACTAAAGCCTAATGCATTTGCTTATCAATTAACCAAGGTGAAGCGAGAATAAACCAAATAGAAATTCATTCTACTTCAGCAAAAATAAGTTGCTCGCAAGATTTACCACTAATATACATATACTCAAAATCTAGGCTTAAAGCTGTAGCGTTGATTTTTCCTATAATCCCTAGACTTCTAAAAATTATATTCTCCACTAACTGAATTTCAGTCAGTAGTAGTTGAATACAAAACATTTTAGTAAACCTGATTCCTAGGCTGACCACAAATAAGATTAGAATTATGAATGCCTTTGTAGACTTCCAGTAAAAAAGATATTAAAATACATTGAAATAGCCTTTATTTTAAAATTTTGTTCCAATATAGTTATTTCAATTAAATACCATTTGCCCGCAAAAGTAGTAAAGCGATAAAAAACTTTATGTTTTGCAATGCTCTGGATTATTTTTACTTGCGTTTTAGAAGTGCACTGTATTTTCAGTTGTGTATTCACGCAAAAGTATAAATTGTATTAGATATTGTTCTTCATTTAATTGGGAAGTTCTGATTAGAATGCCTATCTTACTTTTATTATTTTTTGGTATTTTTGTGTGCATTTCTGTAAACAGTATCCTGTCGTATTTCTCATAAGCCAGTGTTTAACAGTTTATGTTATTAACATAACGTGGACGCAACAGGTGATAAGGTTTAAAAAGATTACTTAATTTTTACCGAAACAATTTTCCAGTAAACATTTATTATTTTCGTAGAGCTTTGCCAAGATTTGAGTTCGCCCTTCACATTTTTATTGAATCAAAACATTGAATTCCCATAAGTCAAATGATTTTAATAAAAAAATTATGTTTTACGAACTCTTACGCCACAAATTCCATTCCAATCGCGCAATGCTACGCTCAATGCTAAAAAATAAACAAATAAATAAATAAATAGCTGCAGTATTGATTGTTGTGGACTAAGTCGTAAACTGCCCATATGTTGTTTCAGAGGATTTCTACGATCCGATGTATTGATTGGCACAGTAAATGTGAAGTTGCAGCAGCTGGAAACCAAGTGTGATATACATGATACATTCGATGTGAGTTAACTTATTATATATATTTTTCAACTAAAGTTGACCTTCTTTATATTCAGCTAATGGATGGGCGCAAACATGTGGGCGGCAAGCTGGAGATCAAGGTTCGTGTACGAAATCCCATATTGACTAAACAAATGGAGCACATCGACGAGAAATGGCTAGTCCTGGATGCCGAAGCCTGAAAAGGGATTTCCCTCATGAGACATACGATCATCACACACAAGTCTGGTCATATTTCTCTATATATAATATCTTGTACTTTAATGCAACAACAAAAGTTTGATGTGTTTATTGCTTACACACACATACACATACACATTACGTACTATATATGGGTATACATATATATATTTGTATAAATCTTTTATGTATATGAGATATTTGTATATGGAACAAGGCGCTGTCATTGCTATGAAGAAAATTGTTGTGCCCCAATTATGTAAAAGGGTTCTCTGAAAAATTGCCGTCTTTCAAATGAAATATTTGAAAATTTGTAAAATAAAATGTATTAATTGTCATTAAATAAAAGAAAAATTAATTCCTTTCAATTGCTATATATATTTTTACACGTCAAACAAAAATTATTTAAACAATTGAAAAATACATTTGCTGTGAAAACATTATAAAATCTATACATGTAAACTATCGTTTTTAAAAATAACATAAGACATAAAACAGGATCGGCAATTTTCCTGAGTTCCTTGTAA